CACCCTGTGTGTATCCTTTGATACATAACTACTGTGTGATAGTCTGCTTCCTGACCACATCACAATTACTTTATCCATTTTGCTGGTGACAGGTCTCAGATAAAGACTTATCAAGGTTTTGCTATTGCAGCAACGTTGCAATAAACATTCTTGTCTCCTTATGCACAGACATGCGTGTCTGTAGGGCAGTGTTGTTCAAACTATGGATTGAGGCCCATTAATATGTTAGGAAATCAACTTAGTGGGTGAAGATCAGCATTTTTTTTTTTTAGACAGAGTCTAGCTCTGTCGCCCAGGCTGGAGTGCAGTGGCTTGATCTCGGCTCACTGCAAGCTCCGCCTCCCAAGTTCACGCCATTCTCCTGCCTCAGTCTCCCAAGTAGCTGGGACTACAGGCGCCCACCACCACGCCTGGCTAATTTTTTATATTTTTAGTAGAGACGGGGTTTCACCATGTTAGCCAGGATGCTCCATCTCCTGCCGTCGTGATACGCCTGCCTTGCCCTCCCAAAGTGCTGGGATTACAGGCGTGAGTCACCGTGCCCAGCCAAGATCAGCATTTTTAAAACTCAAAACTGACTAGGAAATATCAATGTTTGTAACACATCATCAGGGTAACTAGTAGGGTGAAAGTTGTCTGTTGTATGGCATGTGTGCTGTGGGTCATGATATATTTCTTATTGAGGATATCTGTCAAAAAACCTGAAAAGCCCTGCTCTAGAGTAAAAATTTAGTACAATTGCTGGATTACAGGGAAGGTGCACTGTCAACCTGCAAGGAGTTGCCAAATTATTCTCCAACTTGGATGTTCTAATTTACCCTTTTGCCAGCTACATGGGAATGTGCCCACTGAACCGTATCCCCACCAACACAGACTTTTTAACATGAGATTTCTTTATCCCCCCACTATCAGAGAGCATATCATGGGCCGTCTTGGATTGAAACATTCTGTTCTTTCTGGGCTCCCTGAGCCAACTGTGAGCTAGATGAAGGAAGCTGTATCCATTTCACTTTGTGTCTCCAGACCAAGTCAGGAAAATAGTAAGTGCTTGCTTGGCAGGGTACAGTGGCTCACACCTGTAATCCCAGCACTTTGGGAGGCCAAGGTGGGTGGATCACTTGAGGTCAAGAGCTCAAGATCAACCTGGCAAACATGGTGAAACCCCGTCTCTACTAAAAATACAAAAATTGGCCGGCAGGGTGGCTCACACCTGTAATCACAGCACTTTGGGAGGCTGGGGCAGGTGGATCACCTGAAGTCAGGAGATCGAGACCATCCTGGCTAACATGGTGAAACCCTATCTCTACTAAAAATACAAAAAATTAGCCGGGCATGGTGGCGGGCGCCTGTAGTCCCAGCTACTCTGGAGGCTGAGGCAGGAGAATGACATGAACTCAGGAGGCGGAGCTTTCAGTGAGCCAAGATCAAGCCATTGCACTCCAGCCTGGGCAGACAGAGCAAGACTCTGTCTCGAATAAATAAATAAATAAATGAAATACAAAAAGTAGGCTGGGTGTGGTGGTTCACGCCTGAAATCCCAGCACTTTGGGAGGTTGAGGCAGGTGGATCACTTGAGGTCAAGAGTTTGAGACCAATCTGGCCAACATGGTGAAACCCTCTCTCTACTAAAAATACAAAAATTAGCCGGGCGTGGTGACGGGTGCCTGTAGTCCCAGCTACTCGGGAGGCTGAAGCAGGAGAATCACTTGAACCCGGGAAGCAGAGGTTGCAGTGAGCCAAGATCGTGCCATTGCACTCCAGCCTGGGCACAAGAGCAAAATTCCATCTCAAAAAAAAAAAGAAAAAGAAAAGAGTAAGTGCTTAATAAATCTGTGTGGAATTGAACTGTCAAGGAAAGAGAGGTGGAGAAAGTATATACCCTATACCAGGAGATACACAAGGAGACTGTGGGAGCCCCAGCTTGGGGTGTCACGTGCCTGGGTCCCCTGAGTGGGGAACACAGAGCTTCCAGAGATGCTCTAAGGAATTGGGAAGAACTGATGGGCTGCACCTCTTCTGAGTGGCTTGAGTGGAATGCTGTTAAGCTGGGGCCAACTTCAGGCCCAGGAAGGAGGTCACCATCATCCCTTTCATGACCAATCTGCCCGGCCCAGGCCCCAACCTCAATGGCTGGGTATCTCCTAGCTCCCACTAGCCCCACCTCCCAAAGGGAATAAGAAGATCTGATCAGGATTCCCAGGAAGCCAGTGATTTTAGGGGTCTCTGCGTGGGAGTTCTGGGGACCAGAGACTGGTGAAAGGGTCACTTTTTACCCTATCTCTTTTTAAAACTTTTTTTTTTTCTGAGACGGAGTTTCACTCTTGTTGCCCAGGCTGGAGTGCAATGGCATGATTTCGGCTCGCTGCAACCTCTGCCTGCTGGATTCAAGCAATTCTCCTACCTCAGCCTCCCAAGTAGCTGAGATTACAGGCGTGCACCACCAAGCCCAGCTAATTTTTTGTATTTTTAGTAGAGATGAGGTTTCATCATGTTGGCCAGGCTGGTCTCGAACTCCTGACCTCAGGTGATCCACCTGCCTCAGCCTCCCAAAGTGCTGGGATTACAGGTGTGAGCCACTGCGCCCGGCTTTAAAACTTTTACATTTCAGACTATGTGGCTGTATAACCTATAACCAAAAACAGATACAAATAAAGATGTTCAAAGCATTACCCCCAAGTTCCAAGTGCCAGCAGAACACCCCCAGGAAACTCTCCTCCTACACTCTGCATCCACCCTGGGCCTGAGAAGGCAAGGAAAGGAAGGCGGGCAGTGCCCAGACCTTCTCCCTGACTCAGAAGAGGACACTGGGGCTGAGGAAGGGGACTGGGATCTGGGGAGGGGCAAGCAGCTCTGAACCTAGGTGTCCTCCACTAATGTCCTTCTTTCCCTTCCACCTTCTAGAGACTTGCTCTCAGGTCTGCTGTGTGGGTTTGCACAAGTATCAGACCTCTCTAAGTCTCAGTGTCTGCCTCATTGTAAACAGCGTTCACATCACCTTCCCAGATTCCCCCCTTGGCTCTGACTGTTCTTTAAGCTCTGACTGGCCCTCTCTGACTGTAATAGGGAGGCATAGGAGAGCAGCTAGCTGTGCTTTATGGCAGCTAGCTTTGCAGACAGATAGTCTCGTGCTTGGGGGCAGATAACAGGGAGTTCTCAAGGGCTCCTCTGACCCTCAGTGCTGATTTGACAGCAGGGCCAAGTGGGGTGGGGCGAGGCTGGGCCAGAAGGGCTGACTCAGTGTAGCAGCCATCCGGCTGGGTCACCCGCCACGGGTGGGGTGCCAATCCAGGCCCGCTGGGGTTCCCAGAGAATTCCTTCCCCATGCCATAAGCTGCCCTGGGCAGGCACCCCAGCCCAGAGTAACCATTTAACCACAGCCAGGGAGAGTGTACAGGGCTTCCTGCCCCAGGAGCCTACACTCGCACACACACACACCCCCTCATGCACTTTCACACTCATACACCAACACTTTCACTCACATACTCTCATCCACATACTCAGACACACTGGCACACCTGACTTCTTGGGAAGGCTAGAAAGGAGACAAAACTTGTTCTGTTTTCCTCACCCCCACCCCCATGCCCCAGTCATCAATGCCACATCTATTTCTTTCAGATATTTGCTAACCACCTACCACATGCAAGGGACTGGAGGAATGCAGCCAGCTAACTCCAACATGTGGTCCTAGCCTGGTGAAACAAAAGATGAAAGCCAGCCGCTGCTGAGATTCCCACCAGCCACAGAAGAAAGCCTGCCGCCTGCTCTCTTCTGGTGTTGGCCTTGGAATAAGTCCCCTGGTGCTGGAGTCCTGAAACCAAGGGGCCTCTACTCCAGGTCTTCCCCAGGCTGACACTCAATTACTAGGTGCCCCCTCCTCCTCTCCCCTGAGAGGATAGGTCATAGGGTAGGTAACCTATGACATCTCCCAGGGCAACTTCACAGTTACAGTGAAAAACAAGTCCTGGGCTGGGTGTGGTGGCTCACACCTGTAATCCCAGCACTTTGGGAGGCTGAGGTGGGTGGATCACGAGGTCAGGAGTTCACAACCAGCTGTGGCCAACAGCCCCATCTCTACTAAAAATACAAAAATTAGCCAGGTGTGGTGGCAGGAGCCTGTAATCCCATCTACTTAGGAGGCTCAGGCAGAGAATTGTTTGAACCCAGGAGGCAGAGGTTGCAGTGAGCCAAGATTGCTCCACTGCACTCCAGTCTGGGTGACAGAGCGAGACTCCGTCAAAAAAAAAAAAAAAAAAGAAAGAGAGAGAGAGAGAGGAGGGAGGGAAGGAAGGAAGGAAGGAAGGAAGGAGAAGGGAAGAAAAGGAAGGAAGGAGAGGGAGGGAGGGAGGGAGGGAGGGAGGGAGGAAGGAAGGAAGGAAGGAAAGAAAGAAAAAAAGAAAGAAAGGAAGGAAGGAGAAAGAAAGAAGGAAAGAAAGAGAGAGGAAGGAAGGAAGGAAGGAAGGAAGGAAGGAAGGAAGGAAGGAAGGAAGGAAGGAAGGAAAGAAAAGAAAGAAAAGAAAGAAAGATAAGACAAGTCCTGGAGCAAAATTTCTGGAGTCCTAGCTCCAGCCTCTAACTGGGTAGAGAAGCTCCCAGCCTCTCTGGGTCTCCATTTCCTTCTATGTAAAATAAAAATGTAGACCTGTATCTGCCAGGTCCTGGCAGGAAGTTGGCAACACACCCCCAACAGGTGATTAAAGAGAGGTTAGTGGGCTGGCACGGTGACTCACACCTGTAATCCCAGCACTTTGGGAGGCCGAAGCAGGTGGATCGCTTGAGGTCAGGAGTTCGAGACCAGCCTGACCAACATAGTGAAAACCTGTCTCTAACTAAAAATACACAAATCAGCCAGGTGTGGTGGCGCACGCCTGTAGTCCCAGCTACTAGGAATGCTGAGGCACAAGAATCGTGTGAACCTGGGAGGCAGAGGTTGCAGTGAGCCAAGATTGTACCACTGCACTGCAGCCTGGGTGACAGAGTGAGACTCTGTCTCAAAAAAAAAAAGAGGTTACCCCAGTCACTGAGCCGCCGCCGAGGACTCAGCAGCCTCCCCCTCGAGCCCCCTCGCTTCCCGACGTTCCGTCCCCCCTGCCCGCCTTCTCCCGCCGCCGCCGCCTTCTGCAGGCCATTTCCACCGAGGAAAAGGAATCGTATCGTATGTCCGCTATCCAGAACCTCCACTCTTTCGACCCCTTTGCTGATGCAAGTAAGGGTGATGACCTGCTTCCTGCTGGCACTGAGGATTATATCCATATAAGAATTCAACAGAGAAACGGCAGGAAGACCCTTACTACTGTCCAAGGGATCGCTGATGATTACGATAAAAAGAAACTAGTGAAGGCGTTTAAGAAGAAGTTTGCCTGCAATGGTACTGTAATTGAGCATCCAGAATATGGAGAAGTAATTCAGCTACAGGGTGACCAACGCAAGAACATATGCCAGTTCCTCGTAGAGATTGGACTGGCTAAGGACGATCAGCTGAAGGTTCATGGGTTTTAAGTGCTTGTGGCTCACTGAAGCTTAAGTGAGGATTTCCTTGCAATGAGTAGAATTTCCCTTCTGTCCCTTGTCACAAGTTTAAAAACCTCACAGCTTGTATAATGTAACCATTTGGGGTCCGCTTTTAACTTGGACTAGTGTAACTCCTTCATGCAATAAACTGAAAAGAGCCAAAAAAAAAAAAAAAAAAAAAGAGGTTAGTGAATGGATGGACTTGCAGAGGTGTGGGCACCAGGGGTAGTGCAGCACCCTGGAGCAGGCAACTGCAGGAAGCTGTTACCACTCAGGCCTGAAAAGGCCAAGGAGGGAAATATAGCCTTCTGGAGGGCAAGGCCCAGACACTGCCAGCCTGGGGGGAAGTGGGGACCTGATGGAACAGATACACCCACCTCTCTCTCCTCCACCCTCTAGTCTCTTACCAATGCCTCCCATTGGCACAGCTTAATAGGAAACCAGAGGGCAAGGGAGCTGGGTGATTCAGGCCACAAAGGTCACCCTCTTGGGGCACACAGCCAGGGCAGAAGAGTGGGCAGAGGAGCTGGAGGGGCAGATGGAAATGTCTAGCATAAGTAACTACTTTGTAAAACACCTAGCTCAGTCAACAAATATTACCTGTAATTGTCATTATTTGCCTAGACCTGAGGATTCTAAAAAAAAGACAAGTGTGTGTAGATCTAAAGGAATGACCATCTAACGGTGGAATTTTGTTTTGTACGGATGACCAAGAATGGGACATGTATAAGGCAAGATTTTATCAAGATCTCCAAAATCAGGCCTCCAAGTCCCCTTCCCTGTTTAGTAATCAGTTTTTGAGTGCCTGTTACACCCGCTGGCTAGGAGGAGGAAGCTGGGGGGCTGGGCTGAGCCGCCAAGCCCCCTGCGTTCTGAGTCTGAGTTGGGAGTGGCGGGGATTACAGTGGAGGCTAATTACAGTTCTGAGTTGCCCTCTGAGGTCATCCCATCCTGAAGCCCAGGTTGGCATCTGGCAGGAGCTCCCAAGGAGAGGGGGTGACCTCTGGCCATTCCTCCTGTCTCCAGACTCTGGAGGGGGGACCCTGCACCAGGAGAAAAGCAGTGCAGGTCTCTGTGAATGTGCCCAGGCCTTGGCACCTCACCTGCCAACAAGAAAGGTGGGTTGGGAAGGGAAGCATCAGGCCTGTGATCCTGTGGGGAAAGAGAGCAGCATGGAAAACTTCCCCGGGGGCAGGGCCAGGCAGGAAGGAGCAGGCTTTGTCTGAAAGAGATACAGGTGAAAAGCATGACGTCAAGTCCACCTGGGCTGGTCCTGGCCTCTAGCCGCACCCCACCCCATCTTGGCAGGACTAAGGCCCTCCCAGCCAGTCCTCGCCCCGGCTGCCCGGCCAAAGCTGGGAACGGATGAAATAGAGGGGTTCATCCACTTTACAGGACCTGCTCCCGCGCCGGGTTTGTCAGCCTCTGTTTCCGAATCATTCAGAAGGAAAAGGTCATGCATCCAGGGCTGTGCCTTCCGAGGGGGCAGGGAGGGGTCACAGCTGAGGCTCCAGAGTGGAGAGGGAGAGAAAGGCTTGCTGTTTGTAGGAGCTGAGCAGACACTGGGGCCCTTGTCCTGGGGCAGCGGGGGAGGCTGCTGGCCAGATGTAGAGCAGGCCTGGCCTGAGCAATCGGCCTCTTCCTCCCACAGCCCCCAGCTGCTGGGCCAGCCTAAGAACAGAGGAGACCTGACTGAGGTCTGCAGGAGTGCAGCCCCCAACCCCTCGCCAGGCACCAGAATGCCGAGACAACCAGGGCGCTCAGAAGCATCCCCAGGCGCCGAATGCAGTGCTGCCTTCCTGAGGCCCCAGCGCTGCAAAAATCATCAGAGCCTGGCCTTCAAAGTTGGGCAGGTTTTCTCTGGAAGGGGCTCTCCAGTCTGTGGTTGACCAAACCCAGCCTCTAACTTTCGAGGCAAGCAGTCTGGTGTGGAGGGCTGCATTCAGCCACTTGACAAATATTTATTGAGTCTGTGCTGTGTGCCAACTGCTGTACAGGATGCTGGGGTACTATAGTGACCCCAAGTAGACACAGCCCTGCCCTTGTGGAATTCAAGCTTGGGTACAGGTCTGAATCACTTACCTACATTATACTGAACTGTGCCGTGTGCTGTGAGAGAGTGGGGTGTGGTGATGTAAGACTGGAGCTCTCCCAAGCGAGGCTAGAGCAGTAGGGGATGGGTGGAGAGGCAGGGAGAGGCAGGAGGGATTCCCTGAGGAAGTGACACTTGAACTGACATTCCAAGCATTGGGGAATGGAAAGTGCAAAGGCACAGTGGCAGGAAGGAGCACAGTGAATATGCTCCAGGAAGGAGCAAGCAGCGCAGCTGTAATGGAGCAGGAGGGGCCCCAGCAAGAGATGGGGCCGAGGTCAGGCAGGACTTGGAATCACAGGAAGGGATTGGTCTTTGTCTTAAGCAATGAGAAGCCATGGAGGGCTTTTGCCTGGGAGGACTGGCTGGTAGCTGGGTTTTGAAGCCCACTCCCAGTGTCTGAGTGCAGCACTGCTGGGAGGGGCTGCCACAGGGTCCAGGCGGCAGGTGCCGGGGCTGGATGTGGGGGAGGGAAACAGGAAGGGAGATAAGTGGACAGATTCAAGGGATTCAAGAGCAAATTACAGCGGTCCTTGAAGATGACAGGATATGGAGGGTGAGGGTGACTTTTCTGCCCTCTGGGGCCCCTAGACTGAGGGGATGATGGGGCATGTCACAGTGTAGGAGCTGACAGAACCAGACAGGCTGTCATGCTTGGGGAGGTGGCTTTCATTCTCTCTCCACACCTGCTTCCCCTCCCCAGCCTCCCAAGGGCCTTGGGACGGGCAGGGCATCTGCCTGGTTCACAGGAAGATTCTAACCTCCTGAGTCCGCATTGTGACCAGGCCAGTCCCTCCTGGAATCCCGGGCAGGGAAGGAGTCCAGTGGCTGAATCATCCTGCTGATTAGCTGATGCATGTGGCCAGCCAGCCAGCATCCTCCTCCCTTCTGACCCTCATCCAGGGTGGGTGGGACTCCTGGGAGAGCAACTCCGAAGAAAGCCCTGCGCTGGCTGCCCACAGATTGCTCTTTTTCTTTTTAATTAAGAGACTTTACTTTTGCAGAACAGTGTTAGGTTTACAGAAAAATTGAGCAGATAATATAGAGTTGTCATATACCCCCCTCACCCTCTCACAGATTCCCCTATGATTACCCTGGTGCTCTGGTGTGATATGTATGTTACAACTATGGAACCAATATTGATACATTATCATTAACTAAACGCCACAGTTTGCATGAGGGCTCATTTTTCATTTTGTGCAGTTCCATGGCTTCTGAAAATGTGCAATGTCATGCATCCATTGTTAGAGTATGCAGACAGCTTCACCACCCCCGGAGAGCAATTCCAGAGGAAACCAGCCAGGTACTCTCAGTCCATAGACTGCACCCCACCCTTCCAGGCAATGTTACCCTGCTACCCTCACCACAGTGGAGAGCAGCCATCATGGAGACACCAGATGAGTGAGGAAATTGAGGCTCAGACATGTTATTTCATTTGTTCATGGTCACATAGCCGGTAGTAGCAAAGCTTGGGACCCTGGGTTCATTTGCGTTCCTCTAAAGCAGACCCTGAGGCCAGGACTCGGGAATAGTGGTTTATTTGGGAGAAGATCCTGGGAAGCACAAGTCTGGTTGGCACAGGGGCTCTAGCCTTCTGGCGACATTCTCAGGGGCTGTGCCCTGCAGCTTCAGGTTGTCCCACCAAGGGGCGGGAGAGCCAAGGTGAGGAGCAGGTTGTTTACCCACTAACTCCTGTGCTTCTTGGTTGAGAGTAGTACTGGGGACATTAATCCCAGCATTCCCATGTCCCTGTGGAAAGGGAGGAAGCCCAGGATAGAGGAGCAGCCTAGCAGAGCCCACGGAAGGACTCGGAGGGCGCTGAAGGCCAACCTAGGTCCTCTGCTTTTTCCTGTGCATCTCCAATCACTCATTCATCCTATAGACTGTCAGTGGGCCCCTGCTGCATGCCAGCCCTGTGCAGGGCTCATTTCACAGGAAACACTGGGATCCCTGTCACTTTGCTGTGGGAAGCAGCAAAGTGTGGAATCTCAGGGTCCCTGCAAGGGGGTCCCCAGGGATGGAAGGGCCTGTGATCAGTCTCCTTGAGCTCCAAAGGGTGGTTCCCAGAAGACAGAGATGGATTCCTGCCAAGCACTGTGCCCACTCAGCCTGGGTCCCTGGGTGAACCAACCCTGAAGAACCTTTGTGCCAGCAGTCTCCTCTCCCCTCCCAGCCAAAGCAGGGGCATGGGGGGGAAGACTCCCCAAGGGCCTTGGTGCCCCTGGTTGCCACGACGCCCAGTTGCAACCCAGCTCCTGACTCCCTGCAAACCTGTGATGGACATGGATTGGGCCAAGCTGAGCATCAGCAGCTCCTCCCTGTGGTTGGCACTGCTGTCATTCTATGCTCTATTTCAAAATGTAGCCACTCCCAAGAGTGACCCCAGCACACCAGCAGCTCTCTGTGTTTGTCCAGAGTTGGCTGGGAGAGCTGAGAGGAAAACTACCCAGGGCAAGGCACGTGAGGAAGACTCAGAAAGGAGGAACAAATAACCAACCATCGCCAACACCCGAAGCCCACCCCTAGGTGGTGCCATGGTGCTTGGGTGTGTTGGTGCTTAGTCTTAACTTGTTCTAGTCCCCATTTTACAGATGAGGAAACTGAGGCTTACCAAGCTGTTGGGTCTTGCTGCCGATCAAACAGCTAATGGATCATTCCCATGCTCCAGATGGAGAATGGAAACTCAGCTGTTTAACAGGTTGGTGAAGGCTGTACAGCCAGCAAGGCATCCTCATTTTTCACATAAGGAAAGCTCAGGGAGGTGAAGGGGTTTGCTCAATGTCACAAGCTAATAAGTGACAGAGCTGTGACTTAAACTTGGGTCTGCTTGTCGCCAGGGCCTGTAGGCGTCAACTCCATGCTACAGAAGGGCCACAGCTGGGGAATCTGAGAGGAGAATCTCTTGTCATTGAGGAGTTATGCCCAGACAAAGGCAGAGCAGCCCAGCAGAGGACCCCTCACAGATGCCGCCCTGAACACTTCCCCAGCAGTAGCTGGGAGGAGCCTCGAAGTTGGGATAGGGACTTCACCAAGGCCTGTCTCCAGCCTCCACCTGCAGCTGCCTCCAAGATCTTCTCTGATTCCACCTT